GTCCTGGTAGTGCCAGCCCCCCGCATAGAACTCCTCCAGGAGGGCAGGGGGGCGCCAGGTCTGAAGAAGGAGATCCACCTGGTGCTGCTTTCGCCAGCTCAGGGACTGGCACAGCATCTCCCGGGCCTTGTCCAGGTGGAAGTCACGAGCCCGCAGGAACCGAAGGATGTGCTCATCTTTGGGAATCTGGGGAGAAGGAGGAGGAGAAGCCCCATAGAATGGGATTTCCTAACTCAGTAGATAAAATTATGGGAAATGAGTCTCCTGGCTCATCTAAACATAGCTAGCTGGGGAAAGGGCCATATGCATCCACGAGCCAAGGATTGCCAGCCGCCACCGGACGCCAAGGACACAGACATGGAACAGATTCTCCCCTAGAGCTTCCAGGGGGAACCAACCCTCCATCCCAGGCATCTGGCCTCCAGAGCTGGGAGAGAATACATCTCTGTTGTTTTAAGCCACCCAGTTGTTTCAGCAGCCCCAGGAAATTAATGCAGCCCTCTTAACAGATTGTTTTGTGAGCTGATAAATCACAAACTCCTTCTTGTTTTTTGCCTTGTTGATTCAAGCTGTGTTCCTGCCACACATAACCCAGAGTCTAATAGCTGAGGTGACAAGCTAAGACCCCACCAGCTCGCCTTCTTTTTCTTGGGCAAATGCCAACAAGTCAAGAGAAAACCAGCCCCAATCAAAAGCACCCTTTCCTGAGTACTCATTCTGAGCCACATACAGCTCTCATTTATGTGGATTGTCCCTTTCTTTTGCTCTGAAAGCTATATAGTAACGTTATTTCTATTTTATAGATGAGGAAACAGGAGCAGGCAGGTTACATGCCAGCCCCACACTAACTCGCTTGTCTGCCCAATGTGGGGAGGGGGTCCTGGGTAGGAAGGGCCAGCAACTCATGACTAAGCAGGAAATTCTTATTCGAGAGAGTTGAAGGTCAAGTCCGCACTGGGACCTAAATGCACGGTGGACATTCATTTTATAGGGCTTAGAGTCTAAAGGCAAAATCCACGGGCAGTCAAAAAATCAACCTGCTCAAGTCATTAAACCTCTTAGAAAAGAACATGGTTTTGTGAACACAGGTCTATACCGCAGCAGTTCTCAATTGGGGGTGACTGTGCCCCACAGGGGACATTTGGCGATGTCTGGAGCCCTTTTTAGTTGTCACAATTGGGGGAGAAGAGCTTGTTGCATCTAGTGGTTGGGGGCCAGAGATGCTGCTCAGCACCCCAAGTGCACAGGACAGCCCTCACCATAAAGAATCGTCCAGCCTTGGGCTGGCCGAGTGGCTCAGTTGGTTAAGAGTTGGCTTAAGAGTGTGAGCTCTGAGCAACAGGGCTGCCGGTTCGATTCCCACATGGGCCAGTGACGCTGCGCCCCAGCTGAGCTGTCGCTGAGCTGCCAACAGGTGGCAGGATGGCTCAGCTGGTGTAACAAGATTGCCTGTTCGATGGTGGGCTACACCCACCTGCAACTAAGACTGAACTCGGCACCTTGAGCTGAGCTGCCGCCCAGATGGCTCAGTGGATAGAGTGTGTGCTCTTAACAACAAGGCTGCTGGTTCGACTCCTGCATGGGATGGTGGCTATGCCCACCTGCAACTAAGATTGAACACAGCACCTTGAGCTTAGAGGCCACGAGCTGCCAACGGGCAGCCAGATAGTGACTGGCGCCCTCCACAACGAAGATTGAAGAACAACTTGGCTGGTCCCCTCCCCCAATTCCCCAATAAAGTCTTAAAAAAGAAAAAGAACCATCCAGCTTCAAATGTCAACAGTGCCGACTCAGTGATATAGATACACGAGACTGTATATAATGAAAAGAAGGCAAAACCAAAGTGTCTAGCATTGCTAATTACACCATTATTGCTTTGGCCTGTCCCCCAGTGCTGAGGCTGGGCAGTGATGACTTGTGCATCTCTCCAGCCTGCCAGAGCCCTGCACTCACCTTGCCTTTGTGGGTCTCCTGCAGCCAGTGCCGAAGCTGGATCAAGCAGCTCTCCTGCATGGGTGTGAGATGGCCGAGGCACCTCTCAATGTAGTCCGCCTCCAGCTTGGCTCCTGAAGGAGCAGAAGCGGGGTTTCAGGACAAGAGTAAGATGCTGCATCTCTTTACCACGTGGTCTACCCTTTCTAGAAGCCTCGCCTTCCTGGCCACCTTGGATCTGAAATGTAGTTCCAAGCCACATCGTGGCCCTTTCACCAGACAGCAGCCACGTGGGCTCCAGATCCTCTCATCTTTCCAACCCATTTCTAAGGCGGTTCTGAAAACTTGTGCTGGGGGCATGCCTGGATCTCTCCATGGCAAATGAAGTGACCCCACGGACCTTCGGAAATGGAGAGAATCCCCACCCTCTGCAGCTGTCCCCTCTGAAGGGTTATTTTCCATCCCCGAACCCCTCCCCTTTGCAACCATCGGCTTGTCCTCTACATCTATGGGTCCGTTTCAGTTTTATTTTGTTGGTTCATTTGTTTTGTTTTAGTTTCACATGTAATTGAAATCATGCGGTATTTGTCTTTCTCTGTCTGGCTTATTTCACTGAGCATACAACCTGCTAAGTCCATTCATGATGTCACGAATCACAAGATTTCATTTCTTTTTTTATTGCTGAATAATATGCCATTGTGTGTGTATGTGTGTGTGTGCGCCACATTTTTTTTTTTAAGATTTTATTGGGGAATTGGGGGAGGGGAACAGCATTGGGGAATCGGGAGGGGAACAGACAAGTTGCTGTCCTTTTGTTCTTCAGTCTAGTTGTGGAGAACATCACTGCACTGGCCCATGTTGGTATTATCATTTTGCTCTTCNGACAACAGTCCCTGCGTCATAGGATCATTGTGAGAATGATTAAGTGAGGACTTTCTGAGGGGCGCCTAGCACGCTGCCTAACACAGCATCCATGTTTAGTGAACCTTGGCTGTTTTTACTGTTTGAGGGAATTTGTCTCCTGCAGGGTTCTTGCCTGATGGGGCGGCCAAACTTTTTGGTATTCCCTTCACACCTCTTCTGTCCTTCCTCGTTGACAGAAAGAACCTGGAAGGTAGAGAATGGTGCTGGTGAACGTTTCACCACGTTTCTTGACAGAAAGAACCTGGAAGGTAGAGAAGGTGCTGGCTTCTCCACCCGCAGGCAGCCCCAGGGGCTCCGGGAAGTGGGGACCCTGACTCACGTGCTGCAGCAGTGCCTCCTCCCCGACAGCCTTCATCAGGCCTTTGGTGTCCATGTGGCCCAGGCGCAAAATGTATAGCGGGCGGCCATCTGTACAAAGACAAGGGACGTTACTCAGGGGATGCTGGAAAGAGGGCAAGTCAAAGCCGCAGTGAGAACTTACCCTCCTCGGAGAAGGAGGGGTCAGGCTGCGGCTTACTGAGGCTCAGTCTGTCCATTATCTGCCATTACCCTGCCTCCTCCCAAGAGGGGCTGACACCACTCATGGTGAAAGAAACAACGGAAGTGTTAAAAAACACGGGTTTATCCCATGAAGGAAACTGAGTGAGGGGCATACGGGAATGCTCTGTATGTATGACCTTAGCAAGTTTTCTGAAAACCTAAAACTGTTCTAATATTACAAGTTGATTTTTATTTTTATTTTATTATATTATAGCTGAGCCATCCTGCCACCTGTTGGCAGCTCAGCTCGGACAGGGACTCGAACCGCTGTTGCTCAGAGCAAGCTCTTAACCAACTGAGCCACTCAGCCGGCCCTACAAGTTGATTTTTAAATGGTTTTTAAAAGAGGATTAAACCATGTAATGCAGAAGTGTGGAGAGAGTGGATCAACGTTGGCTCCTAGTTTTCTGTCAGCAAAAGCCAAACAGAAAAAGTAAGGGATTATGTACAAAGAAAGACAGGTGGTTCTTGGTATTTGCAGTGGCTCTATCAAGTCACCTTAGACACTGAATTAATGAATACTGAACCCCTGCTTCTGGGGGAAATATGGGGTTAGGTTCCTGCAAGCCACTAGTCGTACCATTTTTGTCAGCCAGTCAATACAGAACCTTGTTTTACATGTGTTGCTATTTAAGGACACCTCATTTAATGTATATTGTTGATTTATTAACATTGAACTCGGGGCCAGCAGCACTATAATGCGTGCCTAAAGGAAGCTGATCTAACACAGACGTTTTCTGTGTAAGGCACAACACAGCCTCCTGGCATGTAGGAACATTAGATGGCACCTCTGCACTATGCTTGGGGGGGGGCAGGGGGGGAGGGCGGCATTTTAAACTGCAAAATCACCAACAAAAAGCACAAAAAATGTGGCACCATGGAAACTGCCAAAGGGACACTTGTTTACAGTGTAGGAGCTGAAACTCATTCACCTCAGCGGGGAACAAACGTGCAGGTCGGGCAACTCAGGTTTTTTTGCCATTCTGCGCAGGTCCGTGAATGACCGCAGAAGCATCCTGAGTATCAATTTGGGGGCTATAAATAAATTTCAGTGAATAAGAAAATTCACAAATATGCAATGCATGAATAATGAGGGTCAACTGCGTAGTAAAAGCATCCCAAAACTTCAGGAGAGTCAAGCGTTTGCCCTGATCAATATACAGTTGACCCTCGAACAACACAGGTTTGAACTGCACGGGTCCACTTATATGCGGAATTTTTTCAATCAGTATACAGTCGGCCCTCCGTTTCCCTGGGTTTCACATCCATGGATTCAACCAACTGCGGATCAGTGATCAGCTGTTGGCAATCTGCAATGCAGAAGGCTGACTGTATGTACCATTTTACATAAGGGACTTGAGCATCCACGGATTTTTGAATCGTGGGGGGTCCTGGAACCAATCCCCCACAGATACCAAGGGACACCTGTAGTTAAGGTTTTGGGGAGACAAAAGTGGGTTTTCCACTGCATGGGGTGTTGGCACCCCTAACCCCCACATTGTTCAAGGGTCAACTGTGTATGAATTTTAACGTAAAGGACATTGAAAATCATAACAGGCACTGGCTACAATGGCCATTTAATAAAAAAAAAAATCCACAGATATTTGTAGTGGGTTGAATAATGTCCCCCCTGCAAATTCGTATCCACCCATAGCTTAAGAATGTGGCCTTATTTGGAAATAGGGTGTCTGCAGATATTATTAGTTGAGGATCCTGAGATGAGATCATCCTGGATCAGTGTGGGCCCCACATCCAATGACCTGGAGTCTTTATAAGAGGAGGAGATCGGGGAATATAATTAATAATGTAAATATTTTGTAGGGTGTCAGATGGTCACATGTCTTGTTAGGGAGACCCCTTCATGGATGAGGAAGAGGCTTGATCACTGCACTGTACACCTGAAGCTGATGTTGTATAATATTGTATGTCAACTATAATTGAATATGTACACGAGACATGGAGTATAGTGTGGGAGTGGAGTCAGTGGAATTGTAATAGATATGTATGATATGATATGGGGGTAGAG